TTAATTAATGGAAATATTCAAGTTTTGATCATTAAACGAAAATTTTTGAGGATGGTCAACCACCACAGGACCTGATTTTTTAGTACAAAAATAGGGGTTATCTCGATATCCACTATAACAACAAGAAATCTTTCGCTTAATACCTCCTTCCTCTCTGCGTGGGACTAATTGATATTAAAAACAATTTATATATTGTTATATTGAATCTTTTTAAAAATCCTACTGAGAGGAATCCAAACCCATGTTCTTGTTGTCTGACAACTCCATTCATCAATTATTCCACGTACCACGGAACTCTTTTTTCTCCCGAGCCAACGACAACTGTTCTCGCATCATTCGAATTTGATTACTTTCAGTTTGTTTTCCACACTTTAGCATCGAACTCCATTAGCTATAGTACCTACAGCATTAACGTAATCTTAGCAACGAGATGAATAACTCTTCCATTGGAGTATCAACTTCATTCGTTCTCAGCACTTGCCTGTTTATTTATTTATTTTAATATTAATTCGGAATGGTTGAACGATCGTTATAGCATTCTCAACGTGAACTGACCAAGCCATGATATTATCTAATCTCTTCACAGAAATATCGTTATCCTATTCAGAAATTATGAAGAAAGTGTTGAACGATTGAACTAGTTTGCTGGATCTTGAGACGTAAATTTTGTGGAAAGAACTACATTAGATTGGATTTCTAACGATATGTCAACACCATTCCAGTTTTTTCCTCAGAGTGAAACAATATCAAAACGATAAGAAGAGCAATGGACAATATCAAGTTGCAACAAGAGTGTACAAGTAATCCACAACATTGGTCAACATGTAATCCTTATTCACGACACAAGTTGTTGTAGTGATTTTGAAGTGTTTCAATATTCTTTGGCATCTAGTTTAAAAAGGACTGTATGGATGAGACAAGATTTCATTATAGTTTAATTGTTTCGTTGTGACAACAATTATCATTTGACGAACTTAATTGGGAATACTAATTGATCATTAATGCTTTTGATAATGAGAAGCTTGGCGTCATCATAGTACTATGAGTCCTTGACACAACCTTGAACAATAATTTTTCCTCTTGCAATTGCCACTGATGCCTTAAATGTCAAACGAGGACTTCTTGTCATACTCTACTGATAGCCACCCAGATGATAGCCAACAATCCAATCTTGTAATTGTTATCACTAAGACTCACGATTCGACCAATTCAAATATCAAAAAATCGTAGCACAGCTTAGTAGTGTCCCTATTCATCACTCATTATTTTTCACACAACTAACTCAAAACAAAGGTGATGAAAACCATTGATGCATTTTTCAGTTGGAAAGTCAAATACTGGATTTCTATGAATTTTTTAGAAGTCAGTTGTAGAAAGTAACAACTGGAACATTCTATATGGTCGTTACAAATGCGGGTTTATCGAGACCATCATTTCGATTCATCCTGGATTTTCGAATGGTGGAATATAAGTTTTTCTCTCATATTAGACACATTGCTCACTACTTGAAACTTTTTAAGAAAGAAAGAAGTTCGAATTTCGCTTCCTCCTAATATTATGTCTCGTTCCAAGGCCAGTCTCTCTCCCAAGTATATTCTAGGACAAATTTAATTTGGAATGTTGGTTTACATTTACACTTGCATGGTTGATGTGTTGACGTTAGCTTTCTCTCTATTTGGGATCACATTGTGACTATAATTATGGATTTCCTTAATGTTTTCCTAGGTGGACCATTTGTATTAGAAAAATGCAGCCTCATTCCGCTCAAACCGTAGAACTCTATAATACATCTCTCGTATTCGTTTTACAACAATGTGAATCCCAACCGGTTAAATCGAGAGTCAAACAGAAAATCGAGAAAATTTAAGTTACCATTTCGAAGCCAAGTTTAATAGAGACTGGATTTCTTGACGTGGTCAACTCTGGTATTACACCACTCCTACACCGTTAAGATGTACAACTTGTCAATGATGAATATGTAAGATTGAAACACATCAATGATGATCTACAGATATGCCAATAGGGATCTCAAAACTCTCCAGAAAATTGAACAAGAGAATATTGGAAGCTCTCTCGGTTTAGACACACCAGCCCCAATCATCGTCAACCCAAATACTTCTCGTCAATGTTTATGGAATGCATGTTAGCCCTAACGTCCTAGTCAGCAAATTCAATCATAACTGTGAAACAGGTCTCATATTAGTTAGAAGCTGCGATTTTCTCTTCCCAGTCAACAACGCAACACAGATATACCTTTACAACCCCAACATCGAGTTCAGACGAGGCATTACAGCACAGCACTCAGTTCTTTAAGGACAGATGATGGAATATTTGATCATCTAATTACAATTTCAACTCTTTGATCTGTCAAACAGATGTAAAGAATGCTAAAGATCCGACAAGTTTACAAAATCTGAAATGTTGATTTGGTACGAAAATGAATTATGATGGACATTTTGGATTTGGAGGAAATAGCGAAGGTGTTGAATAGGTTTAACTTCGATTCTCCTTCGAAATTACTCAAACAGTAGGCGATTTGAGCAATCCTACTCAGGAGACAATTGATCGAATTTTAAGGTTATATATATTCCACCCCTACGAAGTGTCGAAGACTGGTTGATTAGCCTTGAAGATGGATGTCCCTCAGTATTTCCTGTCAGTCTCGTCCTGCTAGTATTATCATATGGTAAACAAATTTGCGACTATAGGTTCAGCTGTCACAATTCACTCCACAGTTCATTAGAACAATCATTGCAGTTTCGGACGATGTGAGAAACAACTCAATCAGCAATTGTGTCTTTATATTGAAGCTGATCCCAACCAATAATTGACATTATTTTGTCGTAAGCTTGAGGGATATTACTACCTCCCGATTAGCCATCCTCTCACTGGTTCTCAATACGGCTCAGAGTAATTGGTATTCGTGTTCCAAGCAGTTTATTTATATGCGAGCCTTAGACACAATTATTCAACTAGTTCCGATTATTTGGAGATGATTGTCTTCAAAGTAAGCAATCTGCTTCACCTTTGTACAGTTTTAAGTGTAATTGTTTCTCCACGTCCTTCAGCCCGCAAGAGGGATTTCGATATCTTATGATCTCTACTCGTGATTGGTCGTGGTATTCAGTTTCAAATGGTGGTCGACTCAATCCAAATACCTTGCTAGACTAGTAGAAACCGTATTGTTCAGAACCATTCAGTTCTTTTCGCTGAGATGGAAAGAGGGTGGCTAAATTAACAAGTTGATTTGGAGGAATAGTTTAAAATTTCTACAAAGATCTGACCTTTTGTATACAGCAAGTAGCGACCTCATTAGCTCCTCTCGCATCTTTAATTTGATCACCACACGTAATCCACAACAATCTCCCGAAGACCGTTTTTACATTCCCACGCTTCGGCTTTTTGAGTTATTAATTTAAGTTTATTGGTTCGTCGTTGTGAATTGAGGTGGTCAAAGGTGAAACCCAAACCAAATCAGGTTGGAATGATTCTAATTTCAGTGATCACACGACAAGGTTTTTCTTTAATGATCACTCGACAAGGTCTTTCTTTAATGATCAACCTTGCCATGATTAATCCTGGTCAAGGTTTCAACACCTTTTGTCCTATTCGGATCTTAGCCACCTAACAGTCAATATCTTACGTCAACTCAAATATCCGAATTAATTTGCAACACAATAGACAAATTGACAACACATTGAAGATCTCCGGTCATAACTTGCGTTTGGTGCATCCACCAATAATTTTCCTCTAAGGAATACCAATATTAATGTCAACAAAATTATGGGTCGATGGGTGTCAGATATGTGCCTAGTTGCGCTAGACGATGTTGTATTGCAGAGAGCGATTTCACCTCCATATTTTTTTTCAATACTCGGAACTAACCCATTAGTTTTCCTCCAATTAATTCCAAACTCTTGTTGTTGTTTACAATGTAGAAACATGATTTGTTCTGAACGTAGTGAAGGGCAGGAATGTTTCGATTGTAAACAATAAAAGAGTTTGGGTTGAGTATTCGAAATAATTTTCATGCTCAAAAAATTTTCTGCATACTAGTACTTCGTCTCCCTTTGCTTTGCTTACTGACTTCCCACCCATCGCACTCCCACCCTTATCATGCTTTCTTAAGCTTTTCAAGTTCCTTTTTCGCTGATCCTTAATGTTCTTGTGGTAAGGAAGGACATTATGACAGTGCGGGACTGCCTTGTTCGAATCTTTTCGACAAGTAATTGAACATTTACTTTTTAACCTTATTTTACTATTTATTTATTTTACATTAATGTGACATTGTCACCACCTTTGATACTTGGTTTATTTATGATAATGTGAGTTGATCACAATCCATCTCTTCTTCATCACTTCCTTCTTACTTCCTTGCGTTTCTCTGGTTTTCTCCTTTTTTTCCGCTGAGCGGTTTTTGGAGTTTTTTACCTTCTACACCCCTTTTCAAATGCTCGGGACTCTGCTCAATAAAGTCTAATGACAAATTATGCAGAAAATCCCTCAAACACCAATCCTTTTCAAAGGATGGATGTTTGGCGAGTTACAAACCCATTAGTTTTCCTCCAATTAATTCCAAACTCTTGTTGTTGTTTACAATGTAGAAACATGGCATTTATCACGAATCGGAATAATTATGGCTAAAGGGAAAGAATATCATTATTGTTTCAAGAAATGTATTATTGGGAGAAGATGGCAAAATAGAGATCTCATGCCGATGCTTCTTTGCGCATTGAGCAACGTGTCATAATTACTACGCCACCAGAAGTGTTAGTGGCAATGTTGTTGTGTGTTTTTCATTTTTTTAAATTTATTTATGATTCTCGTGTTTTCTGTTCACAAATGTTTAAACAGTTCAAACATGAACAAACAAACTTATAAACTCAATTAAAAACTTGTTCAAACTTGTTTAAACATGAACAAAATAAACAATGCAAGTTTAAACGTTCACAGGACAAGCCTATTGAAATACAATCGTTCAAACCAATTCAAAAGCAAAATTATTTAGCTCCAACATTCAAAGCAAGAGAATTGGGTCTCAATCTTGCTCCAGCAATTCCACCTGAAACTGTGTAATATTCAGCAACTCTTTCCAAATTCTCCTTCTTGAAATCTGGATTGGCTTGTTCAATTTGTGAATAATCTGGTTTGAATGAGTTTCCTGCACCAATTAAAACTGATCCAGCATTGGGTTTAAATGTCATGGCATCCAAAACAGTCGAAGGTCCAGTCCATAACGTTCCAGCTCCTTGTTCGCTTGACGTGCTCACAATACCAGCAGCATTCTCTCTTCTGGAATGGTCGAACACAGAATGAATATAATTGATACCATGCAAGGTTAACCGTCCGGAGTCTGCTAAAAGCCTTAAATAGGTTTGTTTTTGGAAACTTGGTTGATTGGTGAATACGTTATCCCAGCATAAAATTGTAAAGTTGGAAGTACTTGGAATCTCACCGTCTTGACCCATTTGGAAAACTGTAGTATAATATCCATCTTTAGTCCGGAATAAAAACGAATTTCCATAGAAGAACAAACTTCCTCTGTTTACCACGTAAAAATAATAAACATCATGATTAGTCATTGTGATTTCAAATGCTAGCATATAATAACTATACATACTTTCGTGAATTGCTCACAATTTTATCGAACCCCCAGTGGATTGGTCGACCTGCATAACCATATGCTGAATTTTCATCGTTTAAAATAACATTGCCATACACCCAAGCATAATCGTACAACGGATCCGATTTTACAGGTGTATAGGTTTCCTCTTCTGAGTCAACCAAGTCCAAGGCACGAGCACTTGCCTGAACGAAATTGTATCTAATAACTGTTCCAGAGCTATTGATTATCAAATTGTTGGGCCGTACAGGCATGGTAGTAAATAATTAATAGTTACCATATCAAAAAATATAGATGATGAACTAACCTTCTATCTTTAAGTGAACTACCATCACGAGCTTGACCAATATAACATCCTTCCACTAATACCCTCCTTCCTTGTGTATAAAGGTTATGTTCAGTCTCGCTGTTGAAATACCCATTTCTATCCAATTTGGATCCTCTCACAAAGGTGTAAGCAGAATAGTCATTCTCTGACTGACCTCTGGTGTTGGTAAATAATCCAATTCCGTTGCTATGGATGTAACAGTTATCAACGAGCAAATACTTGATACGGACAGCATAGATTGCAGCAGTGAAATAATCATAGGTTCTAGTTGTGCCGTCGTAGGTCACATAGCTCTTTCCATACACAGCATCTCTCAATTCTAAATTTTTAAAGGCGAAGAAAGCTGCAGAATGTTCATAATCATCTGAAGATTTTCTGTAGAACATGAAAATTCCTGATCCAGCAAGGGTACCTCCAGGATAGTCTCCAAATCGAGCGGCTTTTGCATCATCAGCAGGAAGAGCACCATCTCCAGAAATGACAGGTCTTCGACAACTTGAATCAGTCACTCCATTGATGGTGATTGGATGTGTGGAATTTCCAACACTTCTCAAACCAACATAGGTTTTGTAAGGTGTGGAACGATAGAAAATATTGACAACATCACCTGCTTGCAAACTCAACCATGGAACTGTGTTCAATTCAGTGTAAGTTTGTCCTGGTCCAACATTGAAGGTTTTTCTTCTTCCCACAAGAGGAGTGGTTGAACATCCATTCAATTTGAAAAGGGATGGGTTGAAGGCAGGTGGCCAAACAGATCCATCATCCATGCTTGGTGCATAATTTTGACATTGGACTACAGGAAAGCAAAGGAACAAAGTGGTGGCAATGGACAACAAACACCACACGTATTTTACGTTTAGAATCATTGGAAACGAATATAAATTTTGATTTGTTTTTTTGATAATGATGAATTTTTGTTAAATCCAATGATGATCTATTTAATACATCGGAGATCTCACTCTTTAGAACCATCATGATTTTTAAGTGGGTGAGCAGCGCGTGAGATTGGGAATACCGTGATCCCAGCTCATTTTTTGATATTTTTTTGATGATTGCTAACGACCCCACACTTGATTTGAAAATTGAACGAACTACGAATACTTCAACGAAACAGTTCAAGATGTTAGCTTTAACAACCTTAAACTCATGTTTTGTCTTTAGAGTCCCTTGATTCGCATCTACACACGCTTGATTACTCCTTTACTAAGGCAACAAAATGTGAAAAGAGTTCTCAACATGAGACTCTACAGTTGCACAACCAAAAAATAAACTTGGATCTGACTTGAGTACAGTGTGATTTATTATTTCTTTTTAATCATTTCATGTCACTCATGCTTGCAACATCGTTACTACAACCATATACCAAAATAAAACCAACAAGCTCATAGTGTTCACAATGAATGATCCAACATTGAAAGTTGTTGCGCTTGAGGCAACTCCTCGTTGTGTTGAGTTCATTGGTTTCACAGAGTCACCAGGTTTTTGAGAAATGACAGGCTTTGTGGAGATACCTGGCTTGGTCGAAATACTTGGTAAAGGAGATGGTTTGGGTGAGGGTTGAACAGGAGGAGCTGAGGCACATTGAGAATAATATCCTGTTGGACAAGAGCAATTTGCCAATGTTTTGATATTGCCAAAAATGTCTGCCACTAGAATGGATCCAGATGAAGTCAAAGCTAATGAACGAGGCGATACTGGAGTAGATGTTGCAAGAATATTGTCTGCCTTGTTGTTATCTCTAGTACCAGTTCCTGCCACACTTCGAATGATTCCATCCAAACCAATTTTACGAATTCGATTATTTTCTGTATCAGCAATAAAGATGCCTTGACCTGTCACTACCACACTCTGAGGGTTATTGAGGTAGGCAGCCGTTGCAAGGCCATTATCTCCAGAAAATCCAGCATCTTCCTGTCCTGCCAGAGTTGAAATGATTCCACTCGATGAAATTTTTCTAATTCTATTTCCGTCTGGGAAATACACTTCGCCATTCGATGTCACGAATAATGATACGACAGAGTTAAGTTGAGCGCTTGTTGCTGCAGAACCGTCTCCACTAAAACCTCTCTCACCTGTTCCTGCAATGGTTGTAATAACTCCACTTGTAGAAATCTTTCTAATCCTTGCATTACCAGTGTCTGCAATGAACACTTCACCAGCACTATTCAAGAATACACCTTGAGGGAAGCGAAGAGTTGCGCTTGTAGCTGCTGAGCCATCTCCACTGAACCCTTCCAAACCATTTCCAGCTACAGTCGAAATAACTCCACTGGTTGAAATTTTTCTAATCTTGTGATTGGCAACCTCTACGAAATATACTTCCCCATTGGATCTAACAAATAATGATTTAGGTCCGTTCAATAAGGCATTGATAGCTTGTCCTCCATCACCAAAACCGCCAATTGGATTTCCAGCAATGGTTGTCACCATTCCACTAGTTGAGATTTTTCTCAGCAAGTTGTTCGCGGTGTCAGCCACATAAATTTCCTTATTATATTCAAAAATGGAGGAGTCATAACTGAACGTGGCATTTAAAGCATTCACTCCATTTCCAAAGAATGAAACCTGTTGATTTCCTGCAACATTGTACAGTAAATTATCTGCAGCAGAAAACTTGGCTACTCGGTTGTTGAACGTATCACAAAAGAATAAATCTCCTGATGATGAGAATGCAAGACCAAAAGGACTATTCAACTGAGCATTGGCAGTGCTAGTACCATCACCAGTATCTCCGTAATCAGTACCTGCATAAACAGTGGTCACACCAGCATTGTCAACTTTGAAAATTCTCGAAAATGCATTGTCTGCGATAAAGAGTTCTCCAGTGGATGGTTTCAATGCAAGACCTGTTGGATTTCCAACTTTAATGTTGTTGGATGCTCCAGTGGTAGGAGCCACGTAGGTCGAAATGACACCATTAGTATCAATCTTTCTTACACGACCATTGCCTGAATCTGAAATGTACATGACATTGGTTGAAGTGACGACCACTGCATATGGATTGTTCAATGAGGCACTTGTAGCTTGAGAACCATCACCAGAAAAACCTTTCTGACCATTACCGGCGACAGTCTTGATCTTACCATCGGTACCAATCAACTTGACTTTGTGATTGCCAGAATCTGTGAAATAGACACCAGCACTTGTGACATGGATGGATTTTGGAAAATTAATCAAAGCGCTTGTAGCAATAGTTCCATCTGGAGAATCTCCCTTGTTGCTGGCTGATCCTGCAATCACTGTCAAAGCACCACTAGTTGGATGAATTTTAAAGATTTGGCTTGGACTCGATGCATACACATCCCCATTATCAGCAACATGAACAGTGTAAAGACCTTTGATAGAGCTTGACAAGGTAGTAATAATCTTGGTGGATGGATTCACTTTTCTCAATTTTCCATGGTTGTAATCGGTGATGAAGATTTCTCCACTACTCTTTGAAATCGATACAGCAATTGGTTGATCTAAACTGGCGGAAACGGCAGAGTATGCATCTCCCCATGAATTGATCGAACCACCAACCCTATTCGACAAAAAGTTCAAGTAAGAGGAGTCAGAGTTGTTCGCAGGAATTCCTGGCAAACAAGACAAGTAAATTTGTTGGGCCAACAACACATTTGTCGACATGCACAATGCGGCTACCATAAAAGCCATGCACAACAAAAGTGCACATTGACCAGCAATGGATGTTACTTTCATTAGGATAACGGCAGGGTACGTTTGCTTGTGTTTTTTTAAAGATGAAATCATTCAAAATCGTGATTTCAAAAAATGACGACACGAGATCTCTCTCACACGCATTTCGGTTTAAAAGATGAAAAATCATCATGATGAGAGGGAATATTTTCAAAGAGGTTCACATCAAAAACACGAGATCAAGAGATCCACAACGGTGATAGACTTGGATCTGCCAACTTGATGAAAAGCGAAAAGCTCGGACAATCATCGGCCGAAACAGGTATGAGACCTACAGATCCAAGATCTTGTCATTGGCATTGAACAGATCTCGTATTATTTCTGTGAACTCATATACCACATGATGACTCCATTTAAAATCACCACTACGGTTCTTCGGATCCATTTCATCATTATCAAAAAAACAAAAACATGAAAGCTTGCTGCTCTTCCCAACCGCGGGATCGTTCATTTTTCTTTGTGTGTTTACTCTGTGTAACGGTCTTAGCCATGATGATACAAACTGCCAAGTGTCAAAATTATGCACCAAGCATGGATGATGGATCTGTTTGGCCACCTGCCTTCAATCCATCTCTTTTCAAATTGAATGGATGTTCAACCACTCCTCTTGTGGGAAGAAGAAAAACCTTCAATGTTGGACCAGGACAAACTTACACTGAATTGAACACAGTTCCATGGTTGAGTTTGCAAGCAGGTGATGTTGTCAATATTTTCTATCGTTCCACACCTTACAAAACCTATGTTGGTTTGAGAAGTGTTGGAAATTCCACACATCCAATCACCATCAATGGAGTGACTGATTCAAGTTGTCGAAGACCTGTCATTTCTGGAGATGGTGCTCTTCCTGCTGATGATGCAAAAGCTGCGTTGTGGGGAACATGGAGCGGTGGTGGTTTGCCAGGTTCTGGAATTTTCATATTTTGGAAATCTTCATCTGATCCAGCAGAACATACTCCTCAATATTTTGCTTTTAGAAATTTGGAATTGAGAGATTGCAGAAAAGGCAAATCATATATTGGATATGATGGTGCCTCTCACCCTTATGATTACTTTACAGGAGCCATTTATGCTGTCCGTATCAAGCATTTGTTGATTGATAATTGTTTCATTACTCAAAATGGTAATGGTCTCTTTACCAACACCAGAGGTCAATCAGAAAATGACTATTCCTCCTACTTGTATGTGAGAGGATCCAAGCTCGATATGAATGGCTATCCAGATGATGATCACGAACATAATTTATACACACAAGCCAAGAGAGTTTTAGTTGAAGGATGTTATATTGGTCAAGCGCAAGGTGGAAGTTCTCTCAAAGATCGAAGCTCTGGATCTGTCATTCGATACAATTTCATTAAGGCCAGTGCTCGGGCATTGGATTTAGTCGAAACAGAGGAAGAATATTATAAGAATTTACAACAGGATCCTCTCTACAATTATGCATGGGTTTATGGAAATGTGATTTTGAATGATGAGAACTCTCCAACAGGTTATTCAGGAAGAGCCATTCACTGGGGCTTTGATAACACTTTGGAACGATCTCGAGCTGGAACCTTATTCTTTTATGGAAACACATACATGTTTAGAGCAAAGAATGGATATTCCACAGATATTTTCCAACTTGGAAATGAAGCTAGTCCTAGTTCTCCTGAATTTACTATTGCTTGTTGGGACAATGTATTCGCCAATCAACCTAGTCATCAAGGTAGTGTTGAGTTGAGAGTGTTGACAAGTCACGGTAAAGTCACCATGAAAGGTAATAACTATATTGATTCTCGTTTCCAACATAAGAGAAGAGAATTGGGAGTAGCTGTTACCGAGACTTCAAGTGAACATGGTGGTAACTTGTGGACTGGACCTTCGACTGTTTTGGACCCTATGACATTTAAACCCAATGCTGGTTCAGTTTTAATTGGTGCAGGAAACTCATTCAAACCAGATTATTCACAAATTGAACAAGCCAATCCAGATTTCAAGAAGGAGAATTTGGAAAGAGTTGCTGAATATTACACAGTTTCAGGTGGAATTGCTGGAGCAAGATTGAGACCCAATTCTCTTGCTTTGAATGTTGGAGCTATGTAAAAAGTTGGACTTCATATTTGACACAACAATAAATCAGCTTACTTGATCAAATGGTAATGTGTCTTTTTATGGAACTCAATTTGGTGAATAATTTCAACAACAGGCGACAAGTTGTAAATGAGGTAACTCGGGCATGATTCAACCTTGAAACACAGGTAGACCACGCACATTGTTATTCATTCAAAATATAAATTTGTATTGTACAAAACAGCATCTCCTATCAATTATTTTCCATTTGAGAATCTATGATACATAATATATGCAATAAGAATTGCAACCAATGCAATCAGAACATCCAAGAAGACAATAGATTTTTTGTTGTTGGACGAAGGTTCTGCTCTAGTTGTGGAAAGCTTTTGTTTTGATTCTGTGGTAGAGGTTGTTGCTGGTGTGGTTGTATTTACAGGCGACGATAAATTATTTTCCGTATTTACATCCAAAGAAGGTGGTTGTGAGGTTGTCATGACGGCTTCCCCGTGTGGTTGATGATGGTGATGAATATGGTTACATACACCAGAAGTACAATGAATATCGTGTTCAGTCATGGTACTTGTTGTTTCGGTCTGAGCAGCGTTTAAATCAGACGACACGGTGTCAATGCCACCAGAAGGAACTTGAGGCGTCTGTGTAAGAACCTCCTCATTGATTGTTTTACAAATATCACATTTCCATTTTCTTGATTGAATTGCTAATCTTTTCCGAACATGTGATGGATATTCAATACTTCCAATACCTTTGGCTTCTGTTGGGAAAAATCCTTGAAGTGCTATTAATACAGTACGAATGCCCCATTGTGGAGTCCAGCTTTCGGGATGATATGAAGTGAGTGAGAGACAAATCTTTGTATTGGTTTCAAATCTTCCGTTTGGGGTCAACAATACAATATCTGGTGGTTTGTGTGGATATTCTGGAGGAAGAATAATTCTTCCATGATAAAGACCACCTTCAAAATCTGTTCCCTTTGGCCCAGCAATTGTAAAATGCCATTCAAATAAATTATCTTCTAACGGATGTGCTTCATATTCATCGGATGGATTTTTTTGTAATTCTCTCACCTCACTCAAAATTCGTTTGATTCCGTGATGACTCTTGTTCATGTTCGAGGTGGTTGGCATGGATAAATTGTTATTGTTGATGGTGGGTGATGCTGATGTACCATCGTTGGAAGGTGCAATCAAAGCACCAGCCGTACTTGATTTTGTTGTTGTAGTGGGTGTGGTTGTCGTTGGTTGCTGGGTAGGATCACTCATTTTTTTTTTAATATCTTTTTTTTAAAAAAGAAAATTCACCTTTCAACAACACGTGTTTCTGGCCATGAGGGTTCATTATCTTGCTTGAATGGCAACTAGTGTCCATGATGATGCTTATAGTACAATACAACTATTGGCAATGGTTCTTCGTTTGACACTTCTTGTATCCTTTTTAAATTCAGCAGAGATATCTTCCAAGTCGTCGGCATCTCCATGAAGCTTTTCAAGCCGTTCTCCCCTTTTCAGCACCTTGTCAATATTTTCCATCATGGAATCTTTGATGGTTTCCACTTTATCTTCCAATTGAGCGATCTTGTCCATTCCTGAAGGATCATCATTGTATTGCTTGAGGCAAGCCATGATGAATTTTTGAATCGCAATTTTTCGATCGGAAATACATGAATACTTTTCCTCAAATACTTGTAAGAATTGGGAAAGAATACGCTGTTTCACGGATTTCTCTGCAGCAACCACATAGATGATTTTCCTACTCACAACATACATAAACTGGATGGGACCATGTGAAATAGTTTTTTTCTGATCCGAGCCGAAATCCGAGGATGAGGAATACAAGCATAACGGAAGGAGTTTTTTAGAAACGACCGAACTCAATTCGCTCGAATGTGGTCCTTCTCCGATCAGTAAGGCTCCTGTTTCCTTACCTACGTTCAAGGGATCGCCTGGGAATTGATAAATGGCTGCATACAGTAAGCTCATTTTTTTGTACTAAAGCCTTAAATCAAACCTTAAACATCTTGTTGTTGAAGATGGATATGTCAATTATTGAACTACTACTTTCCCAGATTACTCTGCCTTTGAGGTTAACCAGATCCACCTTAAAATGTTTAGAAAGCCAGGACAAGTCTATTTGAATTCCCTCAATGTTGTTTATTCCTACTGGCATTCCACAATGGATGAGGAAAGTTCTGTGGAATTTGAATTTACATCGTGTTGTGATGATGTTTGGTTACTATCATCGGTTGTTGTGGTGGAGTCATGATTATGAGATTGTTGATCCGATTTTTCCTTCTTCATTCGAAGTAATACTTGTGTAATCGAGTCCATTTCACCACTAATTCCTCCAGTTGTGACTGGACTATTTACAAGAAAATCACTATTGTCTGTGGTTGGAGTAGTTTCAGATGCCTCTCGTTGTTGTTGTCTCTGGTAGTAAGATTTTCTTCTACTCTCTCGTGCATTCATGGCTTTTCCAGCAAGAGCTTCATTTGATAAATTATTATTTCCTCCCATGTTCATTTGTCGCTCTTGTGCAATTAAGAGCCATTCCAAATTTTTAGTAGAGTTTGGATCTTCTTCGTGTGGCTTGTTTGATTCTGGTTTGAAAATTTCATCATAGTATTGAACCATGATGTAAATGGATGATACAAAGGGTGATGTTCCGCAAACGCTACAGAAAATAACCATTGCAAAGCATGTGTGACATATTAAAAGTTAATGGTAAATTAAAATGAATCAATTCACGAATGAATGATCACATATTGGAATTGATTATTATGAATTTATATTGTGTAAAATAACTTACCATTTGATCAAGTTATCAATCGACATCTTGTTCTTTTTCTCATATTTCGTCACAAGTCTAAAATGTTCGGCAAGAGCTTGCAACGTTTCCTTGTTGGCTCTAGGTAATCGTCCTATGGAACGTTTGACAGAGGCTACTTTGTCCTCTTCGTTCACTATATTTTTCAGAAATGATACAGTAAATTCTTGTGCTGTTTGTGGTGTGAAGAGCAAGGCTTCTCCTGGCAATTCACGAAGGTAGAGTTTTATAAGACCAGCCACATCAAGTGCATCATGTTTTATCTGGCGACGTTATTATTTCAAAATGTTGTTGATGTTGTGAGTTGAATGTGTGAGTTCAACCCCAGAGTTTTTCCATAATGAAGATGGTTCAATGTTTGTGTGATGATAATTCCATGTTGGGTGGATCCCGATTTAAGAGTTCAGCATTTCATTCATTCAATAATTCATTTTTCAAGGTCATTCATACACTCGTGATAAGTTGGATGCAAATGTTTTGAATCATACTTACACCATGATGACAAGCATCGACCATTGTTTTTCCATTCTCTTTATCCAATTGTTTCTTCCTATCAATTTCAGTATTTTCTGCAAGAAAATCAATACTCTCCCCTCGATCAAAACAATCTCGATATTCCTTCACTCGTTTCGTATCACCAGGAATACGGTAAATGCCCTTTTCAATGAGCGAGTCATACGAGTTGAGGAATCGCAGTGATTGTTTAATCACATCGGGTATATAGAGTGTTTCTAAATGTTGATTGACTGTTTCAATGTATTCCAATTCATCGTGTGAAGCCTCTGGATGATGATGAAACGTTGTATTTGAAGTCGAAGTGGTTGAAGTTGTGGTTGTTACGGAGGATGGAGAACCCATTTCAACAACCGGTGGTGTGAGAGTATTGTTGGTGGAACTGCTGTCATGATTATTAGTGGTGGTGGAGGTTGAGTGGTTTGGATCTTGTTGATGGTCGATTGTTGTACCCGTTCTCTGGTGGGAGGGAATGTTGCGAGTATATGGTTGTGGTAATGTGTAACGGTTGATGATCATTATGTTGAATGTGGTTGTTGTTGTTGTTGATCATGATGAACCAATGGAAAGGAATTAACGAATGATGATGATGAAAATTATTGACACACGATTGGATTACGATCATCATAGTCATCAAGTCGTACGATTTAAATATTGTTGGCGAGAAAATTAGCGATAGTAGTGTTTTGTGTGTTATGATTTTCAAAATGATGTTGGTGAGTCCGTCAATTGTTTAACATTTTCATCATGAATATCATTAACGATGATGTTAGCAATATATATTAACTCCCATTATTATTAGTATTAGGAAACATACCTTCTCACGAACATATGTCTTTATCAATAATTTACAACTCCTCTGAACAGCCGTTGCAAGATCCACTCCAAACACGGCTGTCGGTAAATTGGAGAACATGGTTGGTGATTCCATATAATCGGCCGTTGGTGCATTAGAACTTGCTTGAGAGACTTCATCATTAGCAGCTGTTGTTATTTGATTATTATTTTGACCGTTAGTGGTTGTCGTGTTGTTATTGTTATTGGTTGACTTGACGGAAGTATTATTGTTATTATTGGTCGTCATGTAGTCTTTATAGATACCATGAGGTGGTTGTGCTTCAATGGATGCACGCGAGATGGCCATCAGACCATTCTTGGTTTGTTTGTTTCCCATGATGATGATTGTTGTTGTGGTAAAAAAAAGTTTTGGAATAATAGGTCGACACTCGAGTGTAGGTGATTATGATAAATATTGTTATGCTGTTGGATAAGAAGAATTTGAATGAAATTGTGATGATGAAAATTGAATCACACAAAATGTCCAAAGGAGAATGAAGCGTGACCGCGGTTAAAGTGGGATGGAGTTGCAATGGCCGTTCCACACGGATGTTGTTTTTTAAAGTGACGTTTCGTTATTTTTTTGTCTCGCGTCAAATGTCTTTCTGCGAATTGGATTTTTCTCTCCGCTTGTTGAGTTCATCCATTTCTTGGGCTGGCAAAAACCCGAGGTTGTGGAGAGCTGTCTTGCCTTTAAGGTGTTGTTTATCTCTCCTTTTCAATAACAGCAACCAAAAGTTTCTCCTAATGCCTTAACCTCACTAACATTGTCCAATAATTGAGAGTTGTCTTTTTTCTCAATAGGTCAATAATGGAAAACATCATTTGGATCACAATTCAAGCATGGAGCTTTTTCACTTTTTGAAGAGGCACAACAGTGCAAGTAAATACCTTATATGGAGTTGGTTTGTTTGTATCACCAAATATTTTGTCAATAAACTTTAAATAGACATTCTTCAACTATGGCTTAATGAGAGTAAAATCCGAGGGAGCTAATTATTCAAAAAAACAAAAGATTGATTTTACCTACAATATTCTTGAGTGTATATCATCTTTCAATTAAATACGACAACCACATTATTCCATCTTATTGCTTTAGGTCAATCAAACACCCATATTATTATTCATCATTACCTTTCCCAGAAACATGTATCATTCGACATATCTCGAACCCAAGAACAACAAACCTCTAAATCGGATTGTGGCCATCGCTCAGGCAGATCCCAATATTGATGCTCCTCAAACTGAATTACCGAGTGTCCTCTCCAACTTGAGCATTGATGGCTTGCGTTATTTACTACGTGATCATACCGAAGTAAAGGACATGTTTCAAGATTATTTACAAGGAAAAGATAACACTCAAGAAGCAAAGCTTCAACTCGTCCGAAAAATCACACAACAAGTTTGCAAACATGCAAGTGCAGAGGAACGATACTTGTATCCCATGTTATTGGAAAAGTTGGGACAAACGGAGGGTCAATTGATCTACCGAAAAAACTTGTTAGATGATTTGATCCATAAGGAGATGCTTCGTTTTTTAGAACAGAATGAACCTAAAACTGAGTTGGACTGGAAAGTCTATGATAAATGTGTTCGGAAATTCATTCAACTTGAACAAGAGCATATGAAGGAAGAAGAGGATGATGTCTTTCCACTGCTTCGAGAACGAATGAATGATGAAGAATTGTCCACTCTTGAAGATTGTTTGAAATGGGCCAAAGAACATGCTCCCACTCATCCTCATCCGTTTGAAGTCATGACCAATCCTATGGCTCAAATTGTTCATCCCTTAACCGCTCATTTGGACGCCTTATTAGATGCAAAACAAGAAACAACGAGTATGGCGCAAGAGGGTCCTTCCAAGAGTGTTCCTGTTGCAGGTAGCGAGAACGTGACTTACAATCCTTTGACTGGAGCCAATGTTGCGAGTGTGGGTACAAGTCAAGGTGGAGACAAGATGGAGGAATAACCTTATACAAAGAGGAGAGGAAAGGAAACAACAGTTAGTAACCAAGATTTGTTCAGAACTTGAGTATGGACGAACTATGGTTACTACTTTGTTGTATGAATGCAAAACACCAGAACGAAACAGTATTATCTTTTTCGCATTATTTCCTTTCTAGTTGATTTCATTTCTCGAGTTGTTGTGAACTCTTGAACCGAACATGATCTCATCCAAAACCATGATCAATATCCAACACATTCAAAATGGAACGTTACCATTTTAATATTAATGTGCCAAGTGAATTTAATTACTATTCACATTCGTTCAAATCTCACTCAAACAAAAATCAACAAAATGTTTCATTTCCATTCAAGAAGATCATCATTCCTCACTGGAAGTTTACTTCTCCTTTCATTACTCTCAGTAATTCTCTTCCTTTCCTTCTTCTCCCACGAGGATTCCTCGTCTTTGGTTCAAGCACAATCAAGTTATCATCGCAGACGGCCTTGCCCAAGAAGACATTATTGTCGAAAATATTGTAAATGGGGATATGTGTATGATCGATGGGGATGCCGAACGTGTCAATGCAAGAGAAGAAGATGTCGTGTTTATTATTGCTTTGTTCCATGTAAATATGGTTATGTTAGAGATCGTTGGGGATGCCAACTAGGATGTCGTTGCAAAAGAAGACCTTGGTAGAAAGATTAAACGTTGGTTAAATTCTGTTGTAAAGAATAAACCATCTTCAACATATTAACTTTCTGTTGCAAAAACTGTGCTTTGGTATAGAATCACTGTAACCACAAAGCCTGAATATTAAATTTTTCAGTGTTGGTGGATCTGACATTGAGTATCCTTAAACAAGATGACTAAAACTTCTCAAAACGACAAAATTCCATATTCAACTTTTAAACGTTGTGCAAAACAGTTTGCAAAGTTCCCGTGTAAATTTCAAAAAAGAACACTCCAACCTGAGAGGAATAAATTCCAGTACTTCCCAAGAAGAACTTTTGTACATAGCGGAGGGATCCTGCTACTCGCTTTACTCCTTACAGTAAATGATCAAGGCAAGGTAAAATCACAAAGAATGATCCAAACTTTGCCAGCACATATTCCAATGCCCAAGAGTTACATGTTTAATTTACTGCAGACATGGTTATGAGTACGATGCTCATGGACGTCGAACGTGTCGTTGCAGAAGAAGAAGAAGATGTCTAATGTTCCATTGCAGAAATCATTGCAGATATGGCTATCAAAGAGATGGGAATGGTTGTCAAATTGGATGTGCTTGTCGTGTGAGACCTATTTGAAACCTATGAATGCAAAATAAATGTTGTGAAATTTCGATTCGAATCTCATTCATATTAAGATTGAACGAAACTTCTTGTATTGTTTGAATAGCATCCTTGAAGGTTGGTGTTTGAAGGAACAGCTCTGAAATTTATACAACAGCCATGAGAAAGAAGTTCTTTCCATTGCATTTCAAATACACTGAAAATATATTTGAAAAGTTACTTAATGAAATAGTGTCCTTTTGCAGATATTCAATGAAATCAATGCATCGATATCCAAAGTTCATGCTCTTGAATATTTCTGTTATAGAACATTGCAACCGAACTCTTCTGTCATCTCCTTGCATAATTCCACTTCATTGTTCAAAAATGGAAAATTAAAAACTTCCTCATCAAGTCAATTACCATTTCAGTGAAATGGCGACAGTTTCCAAAACTAAATAAATTTCACCAAATCTCACTTTAACTCTGTATTCAACAATTAAAAAAAACAAAATCAAAACACAATGCTTTCTATTCAAACCACTAAAAGAATCCGTCTCCTCAGTGGTGGTCTCGTTCTGTTAGCCATCGTTGCTTCCATGCTTTTGATTACATTCATGCAACAAGAAGAATCATTCGTCAAAGCTCAAGCCTCCAGTTATCATCACAGATGGCGTTGCCGTAGAAGACACTGTTACAAATATTGTAAATGGGGATATGTTTATGACCATTATGGATGTAAAACTTGTCGTTGCAAGAGAAGACCATGTAAATACTATCGTTGTTGGAGATATTGTAAATATGGATATTTGAAAGACAAGTATGGATGCCAAATTGGTTGTCGTTGCAAGAGAAAGCCTCATTGGTAATCCTTAAACTTGGAAATGAAGAGGTGTTTCACATTCACCAAAACCATTGTAAATAGTAAATAAATAACTTCATTCATCAGACGATCTTTGTTCATATAATTATATTTTCTAAATTTTAGTGCATGCAAAACTCTTAACATTATAGTTACTATAATATATTACCATGAAATCTCTTCAGCGTCTATTAATCCTTCCAATCTGTAATGAACTGTCTTTTTATCAAAAATTAGATTCAAAATCCAAAGAATGTCATCTTTTGAAGCTCCCAACGATTGTAACAATCCAGCTGTACAATCGCCCTCACTTTCATTGTAACCACTTCCACTATCTACATAATGCTTCAGAATATAATCAATACGTCCACCCTTTTCGAATTTAATAACAAGACTTTTTCCATACCAAATTAGAGTGTCTCTGTGATAATCGTGACGATCTCTCACGTCGTATTGTTGCATCTTTTGGAAAATGTGTTTCACTTTTTCAAATCTATCGGGATCACTAATTTTTGCTCGTTCCATTAATTTGAGAACTTCTATTTTTCCTGCTTCCAGTGCTTTTTGATGCAATTTCTTTCGTTGTTCCTTTTCCGATTTATCAAACGCTCTATTTATCATATAAAGGGCTTGTCCCTTCATTTCAACAAATGAATTCAATAAAACTTCTCTATCCGAATGTGTGTTCATGTATTTAGCTAATTGCATTTCGCAAGTAGCAACAATTCCACAAGGCATTCTCAACCAAACTTGTCTGAATTTCCTTGAAACTCTCGAACAACCAACACACTTATGTATTGGCATAAACGATAGTATGAGTTCAATAACTTCTTCAGGTTGTTCATTGAGGAGAGTTTTCAATGTTCCGCCTGGAACGAAATTTGGATTTGTTTTTACAGGATCTTCATCTCTATAAATATAATTATTATTAATGGCATTTGTTAGATATTCTTTTAACTGTAGGCTATCTTCATCGGAATCTTGGGATTCTTGCTCAGAATTACTGTCCTCTTCTTCATCATCGCTTTCACAGGATTCCTCGTTATTTAATTTTCTCTTGTTTAATGGTTTTTCTCCGAAGAGTTCTCTGAAACATTTTCATCATCATCATCTCCAGAAATAACATCATCAATGGCTCTTTTGGACATTTTTTTATTGTTCTTTGTAAATGTGTTCTTGCATGCAGGGAACCTCAAAACAGTTCAAAGGGTGTTTCGTTAAACATCTCAGAGCGCATACTTGTCATCAGGAAGCATAATTCAGTTGGAATGCACCTGGAAACCGAGTATTGACGCGAGCGTACTAACTTCATGACAAACAAGTCTCCGTAAATAAGGAGTCTATTTCAGGAACATTTCATGCAACACTCCCGTTTCAAACAAAAAAAAGACACTACACACGTATTTGAATATTCACCATGCCATCTATTACTGCCATCATGAAAGCCCAAATTATTGAAAACTATTGTGAAGAACCGGATTTTATTCTTCGGAATGATTTGACCCTTCCCGAACCGAATGAAAATGAAGTTTTGGTTAAATTGAAAGCCTCTTCAGTGAATCCTGTCGATTACAAATTACGAAAAGGAGCCATGAAAATGTTATACAGTCTTGAATTTCCATGTGTTTTAGGAAAAGACGGGAGTGGCATTGTTGAAAAGATTGGGAAAAATGTCACACGATTTAAGGTTGGCGATGAAGTGACAGGACGTTTGTCTGGCAAGAGAACAGGAACCTATGCTGAATATACTTGTTTTGAACAAGACGAAATTGTATTGAAACCAATCGAGTTAACTTTTCAACAAGCTTGTGCGTTTCCATTGGTGGGATGTACGGTTTTGGAAATGTTTCGAAAACATCCTTCTCTTGGACAAGTCATTGATCGAGAGGGGAAATTGGCATTCGAGTCTGGAAAAATTTCAGATCCTGTTCCAGAAAGTGATGAAAACAAGAAGGAGATTCGAATGTTAATTATTGGAGCTTCAGGAGGTATGTGTGTCATGACGTTTTATGATGGATACGAATGGGTTTTACATGTCTCAACCTGGTTATGAAATAATTTCTTGAATTATTGAACACATCCAAAATAATTTATTATGGATTTGTAATGTCATGAATAGGAGTTGGCTCAATGGCAGTCCTGATTGCAAAATCCTTCTTGCAACGTTATTTCAACATCAAAGTGTATGCAGTGTGTTCTGAGAGAAATGCTGAATTTGTGAAATCGTTGGGAGCAGATGGAATTATTGATTACTCAAAAACATCCTCTAAATATGGCCAGAATTTGATCCATGAGGACTCTTCAGAATTACCAAGTATTTGTCAACTTCTCAAATCGACCTATAAGGATATAAGTTATGTGGATTTTGTTTTCGATTGTGTTGGAGGTTATTATTATTACGATGATGTTTGTAGACATTTGACATGCAAAGATGCCGATCCATTCACTGTGTACACAACCATTTCTCCTCCAACAACGTAACCAGAACTCAACTTGTCCAACATTTTTAAAGTTGGAGCATTTGTGACCATGAACAAGTTGAAATCCTTTTCGTCAAATTATCCAAGATTTTATTTAAGTAATGTGTTGGGTAAGAATGTTGTGGATTTGAATTTACTGATTCGACATGTGATTTTGGAAAATAGAATGTTTGAAAAGATACCTTTGACTCTTTTCAGTTTGGATCAGTTAAGACAAGCTCATTTACAAATCGAATCTCAACGAACTGTTGGAAAAATTGTCATTGACATTCAATAATAATCGCATTGACACGTACCACAACAAACATTTAGATATTGAATCATTTTGAAATTTACAATAACCTCTTCAACATTAGTTTTTCGAAATCTTGACATCTGAACTTTCACACCACCATGAGCCTATATCATGTTTTACAAAAAGCAAAAAAAAATGTGGCACCCTTCCAACAACACTTCCTTGACACGTCGTTTTTGTTTCTGGACAGCCGATGAGCTTCTCCGAGCGTATCGATCCAAAACACTTTCTCCAAAAGTAGTCGTTCAGGATATTCTTGAAAGAATTCAACAAGTGAATGACAAGGTGAATGCCTATTGTTTTGTAGAGGAGAAGGAAAAATTATTAAAGCAAGCTGAGGAGTCGGAAGGTAGTGTTATTGTGATGAATTTCTTGTCATGATGATGAACCATATCACTTGTCAAAAATTTGATGAAAAATATTATTTAATTCTGAAAACAGAGAGATATTTGAATGGAAATCCATTACCATTGGATGGAATTCCAGTGAGTGTTAAAGATTTACTTACTGTCAAGGTTCGTATCTTTTCATATTTTCACAACATTATATTTTCAATTTTTTTATAAAGGGCTGGAAAACTTGTTTCGGTTCCAAAGCTTATACCACTCAACGACTTGAATTATCTGGAAATAACGAACAAGCATTGATCGATCAAGTCGATTCTCCAAGTGTGGAACATGCCAGAAAAGCAGGATGTATTTTCATTGGAAAAGTGACAAGTCCAGAATTTGGATGGGAAGGAGTAACCTTGTCACCCATGACAGGAATTACTCGAAATCCATTCGATTTTAATTTATCGAGTGGAGGAAGTTCTGGAGGAAGCTCAGCTGCGTTGGGATTGGGAATGGCACCATTATCGATTGGTAAGTGATCTAATTTGAAAAACAAAAAGAAATTTTTGTGAAAAATATTATTTGAAAAATTTTATTGTCGAAAATGAATGATCAATAACAGGTTCGGATGCTGCTGGTAGTGTAAGAATTCCAGCTTCGATGTGCATGGTTTCATCCATTAAGGTAAGTTCATTTCTTTTTTTCTCGATCGAACATTAATTCTGAAACATGTTTATAATTTTTTTTTAAATATTTACTCAAACCTTAATCATTTCAAAATGATTTTTAATGATTGACGTCAATCATTATAATAGCCAACAGTTTCCATGGTTCCTCACGCTCCTGCTTCTCCATTCGGAACGATGGCCAACATTGGACCCATGGCCATGACCATCAAAGACGTTGCTCTCTTTCTCGATATAATTGCTCAACCTCATCCATGGGATCCGCTTTCAATTCATCCTTCTTCATATGGTGGAAATGAGAATTCTCAAAAAAATGTGAACGATTTGTACGATTCACCTCCAAGAAAATACAGTGATGATTTGGAAGGATCTATTCGTGGTTTGAGAATTGGAATGAATTTTTCTCTTTCTTCATATTGTGATCCAGATATTGAGAAGGCCGTTCGACAAGCAGGTAAGTAATTTTTTCCAAGATTATTCCATTCTTAATAGTATTATTCCTGCCCTATGTTGAATCAAATAATACTACCAAAATATAATTTTGAATCCAATACTTTTTTATGAAATGATGTTAGCCAAAGTATTCGAACAATTAGGAGCCATTGTTGAGGAAGTTCCAGAGCTACCTTTCCAAAAAGATTCTGAAAATCTTGACATTTTTGGATCCTTTAAAGTATTGTGGTGTACGGGAGGAGCCACCGTTCTCAACAAACGAATTCAACCAGAATATCAACATCTAGTTGATGAAAATTTACAACAAGTTGCTTCACGTGGACGTTCCTACACTGCTTACGATTTGAATAGTGCTGAAATGACTCGAACGACCATGACAGCTCTCATGAATCAACAATTTTTCACAAAATATGACATTTTACTCACTCCCACACTTCCCATTACTGCCATTGATGCAGAATTGGAAACTTGTCGTGATGAAAAAATTGTTGAACAATTATGTGGATTTCATTTGGAAACAAGTGACAAGAATCATCATTCTGTACCAAAACCTCCATGTCAATCTCCATATTTTGAAAAGGAATTTGATATGCGTCGTTGGTGGATGTTTTGTCAATACACATATCCAATGAATATGATGAAATTACCAGCTGCTTCCGTTCCGTGTGGAAAGTTTATGGGTCTACATGTTGTGGGCCCACAGTATGCAGAACGTTTGGTGTTGAAGGTCGCTCATGCATTCCAGTGTCATACGGATTTTGTTCCTGACTTGTCAAAGAATTGTTGTGAGTGATTTGACGAGATTTTTCATCATTCCAAATTTGTGAATTTTCGAATGTTGCAATAAATCTCACGATTTTGGAATTCAACAATACCATTCTTTCTAGCCCTAGTAAATTGTTCTCGTGAATCGTGTAAATCATTTTGGAATTCAACAATACAGTGGACAATTCAACAATACAATTCTCTAACCCTAGCAAATTGTTCTCGTGAATAGTTGTACAGTAAATCAACAAGACACAATTACTGAAGAAAACAATGCTTGGTTTGACAATTTTGGCTCAGGTGTTTAAGAACCTTCTTGTCCATCTTTACAACTTTTTGCAGTAGCTCAATATTTCGAGAGGTATTTCTCTTCGAAAGGTTCATGTTCACACACTCTTCAAAAACCAGAGAAATATTGACGTTATTCTTTGCGCTTGTTTCGATTATGGCACAATGTTCAATTTGATACTTGTTAATGAATCCAAATATAATATTCTCAATTTCATTGATATCGTAAACAATGTCTGTAAATGCTTCATGAACCAAATCAATCTTATTCATTGCGAAAATAAAGGTACAATTCTGTGGATCAGCATTCAATTCGAATATAGGTTGAAGAATATTGTCAAGATTCTTGGCATTCAACTTGTTATTCACAGCACAAACCAAAATAAAAGATTTTGCGTGTCGTATACATGAATCAGTCCATGCAACATCCTCCAATATCTCCAACATTGCCGTCAACGCAAACATGTTTCAAATAACTCTCAATGATCATGGGATCAAAACACGATTGAAAAACTCCCCTCACGAATAAATTGATAATACTTGATTTTCCCACTCCCGCTGTGTATAATCAATGTCATATTCTGATCTTGTCAAATACAAGACACCTACCATCACCCAAGATCACTACTTGCTCTTGTTGAATAATCTTATTCATTGTTGGTAGTTCATTTAACTTTCTATAGGCATGTACAAACAAGTTCACACATCGCTTCATACACTTTTTCTTAATCATTTCCTGTTTTAATATTTTCAAGGAATCCACGAATGGTTTCTTTTTCGCACCATCGCTACAATATCGTTCCATCATGACGTTCCACCAAAATTCATTCAAAAATTCCATCACCCTTTCGGATTTCATCACTACTGAATTTAATGACATGATCGTACAAGCCACAGAAATTTCATTGAAAATAATGTTTGAATTCCTGGTTTTGATCCAATGAAAACGTTCATGAGGAAGTAAATATTTCAAAATGGCAATGACTAACTCATCGGGAAGTAAGAGAAAATTCATTTTTTTCGTTAAACAAGTTGAAAAAAAACAGCCTGTCCAATCCTAGAACCTAGTATTCAACAAATCGTCCAAGTTATTCGAAAACACGACCATGCTGAAAAGAATGAGGTCAACAACCTGCTCTGATTCATGCTGTTTAGCAAAAAACAAAAAATTTTGTCCCCACCGAGGATCGAACTCGGGACCTCTCGCGTGTGAGGCGAGCGATCTAACCACTGATCTATGAAGACGTTCTTGTAATTATCGTAAGACGGCTGTCACCAGGGTAAAAGATTATGCTAACCAGTTTGTTACTTCTGAGAGGCTTTAACAAACAATCCACTTTAAAAGTTAAGCCTTTGTCGCAAAAACATGAAATCCCGATAGTACATGCGCATATCAGTTCACCCTGAGGACATTGTTAGTCCTTGCTTGGCCTCTTTTTAAACACAGTCCAAAGTATGTTTTTCAATTCCAACACAACAAAAAAAATCTTGCTGTCTTAAATCATTGATCACACCCAAACAATTTGCACACTCTTTCAATCGCACACACACATCATGCCAATTGAATTATACTCTCTCGCTACTCCTAATGGCCAAAAAATTGCCATCGCACTCGAAGAATTAAATCTTCCCTATCAAGCTCATACCATTGATATCCGAAAAGGAGAACAATTCAGTCCCGAATTTTTGAAAATCTCTCCTAATAATAAGATTCCAGCCATTGTAGATACGGATCAGTCAAATTTGACTTTATTTGAATCGGGAGCAATTTTACAATATTTAGCTGAAAAGGCTCAACAATTAGGAAATGATGTTGTGCTCATTCCTCCACATGGTAGTGCTGCTTATTGGCAATGTTTACAATGGTTGACTTGGCAAGTTGCTGGACTCGGTCCCATGATGGGTCAATTGGGTTTCTTTTGGAAATATTCCAAAGAGGATGTTCCAGTTGGAAAGGAACGATATTTGACTGAAACCAAACGTTTGTGGGGAGTATTGGAAAAACATTTGGCTGATGGCTCGAAACAGTACGTGTTGGGAGATCAGTATTCAATTGCAGACATTGCCATCTTTCCTTGGATTCGTTTGTTGAATACATTCCCAGAGCCAGTATTGCAAGCCATCCCAATCGATTCCTATCCCAATATTAAGGCATATATTGACAGAATTGAACAAAGACCTGCTGTGCAACGAGGACTTAAGGTGACACCTTTTGTGTAGAGATTGTGATAGGTTCGAAAATGGACAGATTTATAGACCTTAACGACATTTGTCAAACAGTCAAACCAATGGCCAATTGTAAAAATCATCATGTAAAAACCAGACTCACATAAATGATTTATGATTATAATGACTACAGTTATTAATTAATGATTACATGTTAGTTGAGGAAATCACAAGAACTTCTTTTGAGCCCATCTATTGCATGACAGCAGTTGGAACAGGTTTTGAGACACGAATCAACTTTAACACAATTCTCTCAGTAGAGGTGGAAGAATAGATCCACATGGTTTGAGTAGCAGAAAATGCAGATGGAGCAGGAATGAAGCTCAAAACTAATTCCAATCCGAGTGGAATGAGTTTTGTTCTATTGAACTCTGTCAAGTATTGTTGTATCTTTGGTCTCACCACACGGTTCATATTTGACAACAAGTATCTTGACTTTTTGTAAAGAGGAATGTACATGATAAAGAGTATTCCTATTCATCAGGTGGTAATCCAACAATAATTTTCAAATGCCATTCATCGTCGGATCACATCATGTTGAGATACCATTTCATCGTTCATTTTCATGGATCATCATCATGGAATCATCAAGACCAGAAATTAACAATATGAATCCATAATTTGTTGAAACAATTAAATTCCAAAACTTACCCACTGCCAATCCCATCGTTAAAACCGTCAAAATCATGATCACTGTAAACGAGACCCAAAATCCGATATCATATTTTGAAGCTCCCGTATAATGTTCTCTCAACATTCCATTCAAATTAGAGACTACTTGTTCCATCTCAGCAACCAACGCTCCCGAATTTTGAACACCATACAAACTCAACGTATGGGAGAGTTGTGTTGGTAAGGCAAAACCAGAATTACCATCCAAATAGAGGCTTTCCGAGAGTGTTTCCACGAGTGGACCATTAGCGAATTGAACCACAGAGAGAGGAGTGTTAGCCGCTGAGGTAGTAATGATCATCATGGGTTGTTGGACTTGTTGAGAAACAATGACTGTTTGTTGTTGTTGATAGCCAGTAGTTGTCATCATCACGGGTTGTTGTGGTTGTTGTGGATAGCCAGTAGTAGTTCCATACGAGGTTGGAGGAGTATTTGGAAGAGTCATCCTGAGAAATTGATTTTGAAATTTTTTTTTGCTTTTCGGAGTTTGTTGAATTTTCTTCTCAGTCGACAAATGGCACACCTTCTAATTTCATTCCACAAACCAAATGGAATTTCATAAGGGCAGTTGTTGTTGGGAGTGTAAGATTCAAAGATCGTTGGCGTGGTTGTTGTTTCTTGCTCAATCCTTAACCTGTAGACACCTTTATCACACTCATTGATTTCGAATATCCTTACTTTCCTTTTTTTGATCGTCCGATTGATGATTTGCGCTCATTACTATTCAAGCGAATGCAGACCTGTGAATGACAAACAAAAAATGTTGACGGCAACAATGCTTCTCTCCAGAAACTTGTTGTTGTTGGCAGATAACAACACCCTTCCTAGAAACTGTGCACAACTGACATTTGGCAGGAGGAAAACAACCATGAGTTTTGAAGGCAATTCCCGATCCATTATTTCAAAATTCTTTCATGGTAACAACAACACAATGATGACTCTCTCACTATTATCCAATAGCCTTTGTACTTTCTTGCTCATCCTTCTCATCTTCTTTACATCATTAACGACACTTGTCAATTCGCATCCTCTAACTTCCCTCTCACCGAACCATAGAACCACATCCTCTCTTTTAAATTTACCAGTCCGAGTCCTTTCTCTTCAAGAATTACAACCTTCACATGTCATTGTTGGAGCTTTTAATTATTATTCATTGTTTGTGTGGAAAAAATTAAAAATTGAATCATTTCCACAATTATTTGAAACAGTCATGACAAATTCTAATTGGACAACTAGATATTTCAATCAAAATATGAACCACTCAACAAATTCTAATAGTAACAATTTTCCCAACTTTAAATCTCCTCACAGGCCTTTCAAAATCATTTGTCCACAAAATTATCCATGTCAAAATTTATGGCAATTGACATGGACTCATTCCGTCTCTAATCCCACTTCTAATTTTGCCTTAGAACATCGATATAGTTTATTTTCAGATTGTCGATATGGATCTCTTTTAGAATATGGCGATGCTTTTTTAATGACTCCTTTTGATTTCGCAATGATTGTAAGAGTGAATTTACAAGTGACACAAAAAGGACTTTTTTCGTCTCGACAACGACCATTGCAAGTTCCTTTTGAATGGTACAACCCATTGGTCCAGTTGCAAATTGCAAATTCTTCAATTTTGTCCATGTATAATCCGAGTGATTTTATTGCCATTCCAATCATTCCTTCAAAATTTATAGTGTTGGATCAAGGTGCAAGTGGCATGACATTTGACAGTACTCGAACTTGTGAGGAATCTTTCAAGGATGGAAGTTACTCTACATCATGTACTTTTTTACAATTAGCCATGAAACACACACGTGTAAGATCCATGAGCTCGTGCTCTGAAAGCACTTTCCATGACATGTATGTTTGGGATGGACTTCATGGATTGTTAAATTTTTCACAACACGATATTGAACTCGTTCAAAAATTGTTAAACTTCCAAGTTCAAGTGGATGATTCACTCATTCGAGAAGCATGGAGTAGTTTGGATTCAGATCGAGCAAAATCTCTCGAAACTCTCTCTCATTCAACCATTTCAAATTTGTTATGGAATTCAACGTGTCATTACTGTTCAACCACTCTGTGCGTGTCAGAAAATATTGAACGAACCGATTACTTTGTCATTGTCTATTCGATTTTTATGTGTGGATATTATTTATTGTTTTTTGGATTTAGAATGTATCGATTACCTTCCATGAAGAGAAGATTGTTGCTGCCATTTGTCACTCCATTTGCATTGTTACTTTTTCAAACAAGTTGGTCATCAGTAGTGAGAAATGCCTGTGGATCTGTCATGCTTCCCATCTCCATCTTGATTGTTGGATTTATTTTTACACTCCATGTTGTCATTGTATTGAGAAATTTGTATTTGAAAATCTTGTACAAATTTTTAAGACAAGAGAATTCCAAAAATCTTTCCCAGACCAAGGAAAAGCATTACAAATTTTACAAAATTCTAGCGTCAGAACGAATGGGTTGGTTCATGTGTACAGCCATTCCATTAAGTGTCATGTTGGTCTTTTCCATTCCATCGACGGTTGTGAGCTCGGTGTTGTTTACAGAATTAGTGTTAGCCAATCGAATCATGTTTGCAACCATTGCTTTGTTTGGATGTGTCTTGGCATTATTATATTTGGTCATTGATATTTTGATCTGTAGAAAGAAAGTTTTCAAAAAGGGTAAGTTGGTCATTGAATTTTTTTTAAGTGAAATTGACATTTGGCATGAACACTTCAAAAGGAATTCGATGGTTTTTCTTCTTCGATGATCCCCTCTACATTCGTATCGACCTTCTCTCTCTTCAACTCCTCATGATTCTCCTCATCATTTATCTCATTTTATTACCTCTCAATGCTCCCTTCTATCCTGTGAGTGACAATTTTGCAACGAATGCCTTTTTAAGAATGTTGATTTGTATCTTTTTAATGATGAGTTCGGGTGGATTTACCATGACCATTGAACTTGTTAATTTAATACTTGCGAAAAAAACAGATGCCTTTATTATTGATTCTGTCAAATCATTGGAATATTTACTTTTGAAATATTCATGTTTTGAAGAATTATTGAAAGATTATTGTACTGGAGAGTTGACATTGGAACATTTATTATTTTTTAAGGAATTGAGTGAAATCAAAACTTTGACAAGTTCTAAAATTTCTCAATCCATGTTCGAACGTCTGGAACGAGTGTTTATTGAAAAGTATGCAATTTTTCAAGTGGATCTTCCAAAAAAGACCATTTCACAATTCTACAAAATGAAGGAAAAGATGAAGCAAGTTGTTGTTGCAAGTCAGAGTGGAGGAAGTGGCAATTCGAATGAAGAGAGTCCAACCACGACCGTAGCAGCAACAGCAAGTATTCAAAAACCACTTCATTTTCCTTCATTTTCATTAATTTCAAGTGGTCAACCACTTTTCATTCAATCCGAAGAAATTCCAAAAAACAATCATTCAACAAGTACTTCTCCAACAATAGCCACGACAATAATCGACGTAAATAATCCTGTTCAGAACAACACACTCTCTGAATATGCTTCTTCACCTAATTCTCCAATTCCTCAATTACCAAATAAGGAAGATTTAAAATTTCATTCTCTAAATCAACACAAACATCAACAACCACACACCGAATGGATCCTTTCTCATCAACTCAACACGCAACACAAATCTTCCAACAAATTGGAACAAAGCATGACCATTTTGTTTGAACAATTATTTATCGATGTTGTGTTTAATATTCGAGAAATATTTTCGAGATTTAAAACCACAAAAGAATTTAGAGATTGGGTTGAGAAAATGTCAAGAGAGGGTAATTTTCAATTTAATCAGCCGGTAGTGGTGGAACAGGAAGTGTCGAATTCTACTACACCGAGAGCAAGTGGAGCTGTCACTAATCAAAAGAGTCACATCAAAATTGCAAGTCTTACCACTGTGGTCGAATTTACAAGTTCAAGACAATGAACGTTCAGTGATCTCTCTCCATAATCTCTCGTTTTTTAAGAAACTGAAACACCAATTAGGAAAAATCAAAGGACCAACTGTCAACTTTAAAAAAAAATACCTCTCTGTTGGCATTTGACAGGAGCAAGTTTTCATTCTTTCACTCGGACAAGTGTTAACGAATCGATCCATTCCAACAACAACTCCACACTAGATTGACAATTTCATTGAACACAATGTGTGAATTCATTTCTGATACTAAACTTTTTATTGATCCAACTTATCGTTATTCCTATCTGTCAAAATTCATTAAATTTGGAAAAGAGGATTTGACACTTGTCAAAGAGTTTGGTCAAATGGTGTTGAATCCACTCATTCCGCGTTTGATCGAGGACATTGAAAACAAAATGTCAAATTATGACGTGACGAGAGAGTTATGGAGAGGAAATGTTGAATCAATTGTGGACACAGATAAAGTCAGTAATCAAAAAAGCGAGAACAATGAATTTATCTTTAAAAAGGAAATTCAAATCATGTACCTCAAAAAATTATTCATGATTGACCAAGAACTCTCTTCGAATGGCTCCTCTTCCAAAGATCAAGTCGATCCCTCTGTCATTAACTATATTAAGGAATTGGATGAATTTTGCCAATTACATTTTGAATGTAAACAAGTGCCACTTGTCCATTTGAGTGCCTACTTTGGAGTATTATCTGATTTAATTATGGAAGAAGTATTTGAATCACAAATGGCTGAAGCTTTGAAAAAGAAGACCTGGATGGCCATTAACAAATTGTTGTGGATTCAAAACGATTCATTTACTAAAGCTCATGTGGATGATGCAATGAGACATTTGACATCATCATCTTCGAGCTGCTGTCTAGTAACTGGAGCTGTTGGAACTTCATGCTTGTCGAAAAACATGAATAAATAACGACCTGTGTAAAGAGATGCATGTTTATTTAATGTTTGGTATTTGCATTCAATTCGTGCTCCACAAAAATTTTGTAAATTCAAAAGGACAAGCTCAACAATGAATGAACTTCCAATCGAATGGTCTTTCATAGTGTTGTTGTTCACATGTGAGTGGTAAATCTCGTGTTTATTGTCAATACTAGTATTACATGGAAAATCAAATTCGAAAACACATTTTACAACACCAAACACTTCTTTGGCAAGTTAATATTAATATTAATCTTCTTCTTTCCACTAGAATCCTTCTTCTTCTTTTCATTCTTCTTTCCTTCCTTTTCATCATCCTTTTCATCAGCATCATCATCATCTCCTCCTCCATTCTCAAATTTATCGACCAATCGAACCAAACTTGTGAAAATTTCTTCCACATTGATCGATTCTTTAGCAGAAGCTTCCAAGAATTTACAATGATCTCCAAATTTCTCAGCCATGGATTTACCTTCTTCTTTGGAAACGGCACGTTCTTCTTCCAAGTCACACTTGTTACCGACGAGAACAATTGGAACTTCATCGGCGTCTTTGGAACGTAATAATTGTTCGTGAATGGTGAGTAAATCTTCGAAGGAAGAAGGGTCAGTGATGGAATAGACGAGAATGAAGGCTTGACCAGTTCTCATGTATTGATCTCTCATGGCAGAGTATTCTATTGTTGTTGTTGGGAAATGTATATATATGGGAATGACATGTGTCATCATCATCATTGTGAAAGAATAATAACAACAATAGGATGATGAGAATGTGAGAGGAATGTGTGAATCAGTGTAACCGCACCGGTCGACCAAAACAAATACCGTTTATAACATGTTGTAATGACACACATGTCATTACACCAAAAACCGTTTTTTAAAAAATAATATTCAACATATATCATCATTATGAACAACACACAATTTTCACATACCTTCTTGTCCAGCAGTATCCAAAATATCCAACATACATGCCTTTCCATCGACTTCAATTTGTTTACGATAAGAATCTTCAATGGTTGGATCATATTTCTCAACAAAGTTTCCTTGAATGAATTGAATGGTCAAGGCGCTTTTACCGACACCACCGCTGCCCAAGACGACGAATTTATATTCAGCCATTATTGTTGTTGTTGAAGGGAGTGAGGGGAATGAGAACTTTCAACGTAGTTGTTATTTTTTTTTTGATGGATGATTTTTGACAGTCTTTGGGTTGGACATTTTGCAAGAGAAATTTGTATTAGAGAACATTGAATTTCGTTCAAATCAGTTCGTGTGTTGGGATTGATGAACTTTGAATAGGATGGTGTTGATTGGAAACAAGTACAGAAGAACAATGTTGTATATGAGTCCAGGTTGAATAAAGAAATGATTGTTTAGTTTTGTTTAAGCAAATGCCAATTGCCAATGAATACTTTCAACAACCAGCGAAGAAAAAACTTTTTTGATCTGTTCAAGCCAACCATTTATCCATGTTGGCAACTTTTGAGTTTCAGAACGGGTGTGTGTTAATGTAGACAGGTCATTTGGAGAGGAGGCACACAAGTCAGCACAATGGGCAGAGCTTTGCATGTGGAATACATTTGATTGGGGAATGTATTGCTAACATTGACCATGGATCCACAGAACCACTCGTGAAAACTGTGTTAGTCGTGTCAATATTCTTAGCTCCATACATGTTGTTTGTAAAAGCAATGTCTGGCTTCATTCCATTAATTCCTAAAATTTCGGAACATTGTTGAAGGAAATATTGTAAGGAAAATCTTGGTTGAGAATGGTTGCTTGTCATCAACTTGATACTATCCAAATTCAACACATGTCTGGTCGGTCAAGCACGTCCTGCAGCGTTCAGATTTTTAGGGAACGGTTGCAGGAAGAAAAAAATTTTGATGAGAGTGGGATTTGAACCCACGCCCTTGCGGAACACGGTATTAATTATACCTTAACGTGTCGTCTTAGACCGCTCGACCATCTCACCGTACGATATTTTGAATTGGATTTCGTTTATGACACATAGTTGACGGCGTGCCCGTTTTGATCTACGGCTGAGTCAACCTGTGTTGGATCTGCAATTAAAATCTCAAATGAACACTGTAGATGTCTTGACAAAAGAAAAGGAAAAGCTCTCAAAAGAAGTGAATGAAGCCAATGAACATTTTTTGGTCTTTTGTGACAACCCACCTCGTTCTTTCACACACAGTATCAATTAGACAAGTCAATGAAAAAGACAAGACCTTATTTCAGTCCCTTAGTTTTAACCACAACATGCTCCTTTGAGGACCCCAACGAATCAACGCGTTAAAGTTCTAGACGCGTTGACACTTTTCTGTGACGCTCCTACTATTAAAATGACTCTCCTTCTTTTAAGGATTGAATAAAATCCTGATGCATGATTCAAAACAACACCAAAAGAAAACATGTCCCATGTCATTTGATGAATTTGTTGTGAAAAGATCCGTTTTCGACGCTGACAGTCAACAACAAACAGCATTTCGCAAAAAAAGAACACTACTTTTGCATCTTGGTGTTGCTCTGGTTCAAACTGACACTCTCACGAATCATTATCTTCATTCGGCGTTGTTGTTGTCGTCCATTGTGAGAGTTGTTTCCTTGCTATTATTCAACAAACACACTCTCACACAACATTCTCATCATCATTACCTCAGCGGAGAAGCGAATTCTTCCAGAGAATCTGAACAACTCAATCAAAGGCTTTTTGAGTTTTCAATCTCTCCATCACCATCCTCTGCTCTGGGATTTTTGTTTCATATCTCTCTCTATCATCAGAGCCATCCAACAACAACAATTTTGATCCGAGCTCGCTCTTCCATCAACAGCTTTTGAAGACATCATCGTCCATTCTCTCTCTCGTGAGTATACTCTCGACCACTACTGATTCATCTACTATTACCACTTGATTCATTGGTTTCCAATAACAATTGCAACAACTACGAAAGAATCAATCTGGCACCATCATCACCTACTCTACCCTCCTATCATTCAAGTGAATTCTCTCTCTTTCACTCCCATTATTTTCTCTAAATATCCTTTCCGTATTATAAAACGCTGTGTACAGCTCTCCTTTCTCCATCCATAACTTTCATCTTAATAACATTATTGATTCTCATCATCATCATCATCTCATATCAACAAAATGTCTTCATTACCTCCTCCAACAACAACAACAACAGCAAGCTCCTCAGCTTCCAAGCTTCCTCCGTTTGACATTTCTCGGCTTGTAACTCAAGCCATCCTTCCTCAATCCACTTCAACCTATGAGGAGATTCGTTTGGTGCCGAATCCAACCATCACCTCCATCGAATCATCATCATTACCTTCCGAATCGCACCACACGATGGATCCCAACAATGAAGAGATTATCATTGTAGAAGAAACCACCACGACCAATGTCGATAATACCATTGTGGCCACTATTGCTTCCAATGAATCGGTCAATGGACCATGTTCAGTCCTCGTTGGAGATGTTGCTGTCGTGGACGATGACGATGAATTATTATTTAGTGGAAGTCAGAACAACAACCATGATGAGGATCATCAGCAACAAGACATACTCTCAGAGAATACTGGCATGGCCAATTTAACAGATTCGTCCAATGCTGACCATAATTATTCGAGTTCAGCACTTTCTGTTTCAACTTCTCCAGCTGCTTCAGGCACCTTGTCAGCAGCATCGGCTCAATCCTCGAACCACACTCCTCGTTTGACACCACGAACTGTAGATACAGAGCTAGAGAGTATCTCGACCATGACGACCGTGAAAACGACAAGCACCACTAAGAAGGTTGTCAAACGTCATTCATCTCTTAGTGCACAAACGATGGACAAGGCAATGGATCAAGCAGTCTCTACTGCTCAGCAACAACAACAAACAAGTTCTAGCAGCACTTCCACTCCTCAAAAGCAATCACAAGAGGAAGAATATACCACTCTTCAATCCACAACACCTAAAAAGAAGCAAAAGAACAAGGGAACTCCAGGAAGTAGCTCCAAACAAATTCTTGGAAATTTCTTCAAATCTCTCAAAGGATATTTATCACGAAAGAATAAGAAATCATTGAATCAATCATCTTCCTCAGTGACGAACACAAGCGCTGCACAAAATAGTAGCGGTGGCCTTAATCAATCTTCCTCGTCATCGGTGGTGCAAGCTTCCGCCCAGCGGATCAACAAGTCGGAGTTGCTCCAACCAACGATGCCGTCTACTTTAACCCATCCTTAATTGTCACTCAAGCTCCAAATCCAAAGAATACTTCCACACATTCCATTAGTACAACCACTCAGAGTGAAACAGTCGATGACGCTGAAATTATTCGTACAACTACTACCACAACCACCACTCTGAGAAGAAAGAGTGTGAATGACGAAGCTGCAAGCTCCAGTGACAATAATTTGGAAAAGATTGAAATTGAAACTGAGGAAGAATTGCAAACCACGACCACAACTGTCACCACAAAGAAGAAGAGAAAGAAGCCTCTCGCTCAATCAGGAATCAATGCTGAACTCACTCAACAACAACAACATGCCTCACAAAAATCCTCACACAAGCACATCCCTTCATTCAGCACCACTCCAGGCATCAAATCCCTATTACCTCCTCAACGATCACACATGAAAGGAAAAAAGACTCTTGTTCTCGATCTCGATGAAACTCTTGTGCACTCTGTCTTTGTACATACTGATCAGGCAGATTTTGTCATGCCCATTGAAATGGACGGCCGAGTATATCAATGTTATGTTTTAAAGAGACCAGGCGTCGATGAATTCCTTCGTGAAATGGGCAAATATTTTGAGATTGTCATTTTCACTGCCTCACTCTCACTGTATGCCAATCCATTGCTTGACATTTTGGATAAGCATGGCGTAGTTGAGGGAAGATTATTCCGTGAGCACTGTACCAAGGTCGGTGACACATACATTAAGGATTTATCCAAGTTGGGACGAGATTTGGATCAAACCATTATTGTCGACAATTCTCCAAGTTGTTATGCCTTACATCCTCAAAATGCATTGGCAGCCTCAACTTGGTATGATGACCCCAATGA